TATATATATATATATATATATATATATATATATATATATATATATATATATATATATATATATATATATATATATATATATATATATATATATATATATATATATATATATATATATATATATATATATATATAATTTTTTTTTTATTCAATTTTAATTACCTTAACATTTCCTTGTCTTAGTTTTTAAATTTATTTAATGCAAGTAATGAACTAAGGAATTATTAGTGCATTTCAAACGTTTCTAAATGATGCTACATAAATGGTTGGTTAGCCAAGGTCAGAAATAATGCTGTCGCTGTAAAGCAAACGAGTCTCAGATTTGAATGGCAGATGAGATCAGAAGAGATGTACTGATCTGAAAGGGCAGGCTGATGCTGGTGCAAGCAGTGGTATGGTGTCCAGTGCTTAGCATCCAAAAGCCCTGCTTCTCCCCTCCGTCAGTGCAGCGTATATATAGATCAGCAGTGCAGCATGGAAAAGCAATGACATAGGCATGTTGCAGGTGCACATGGCAAAACAATCATTAGAACAGCCGAGACTAAAGCATCGCGCAGGGAATCCCAGGTTAGTGCTTCATCGCAAGTTGGTCCTGCTGTTCACTGTGAATGAAAGACTATGAACATACAGAAACCTCAACTTCAAACAGCATTGCAGAGCCGCATAACCAAAAGATTAAGCCTTGCAGAAATAAGAAAACATGTACTCGAGCAGCACAAGCTTTTTTCTAAAGCAGTAAAAACACATTAATCTTCAATATTCTGCACAAGCAGCAGTAGAAAAATATAATGCAAAACCATTTATTAGGCTAACACGAAGTATCAAGTTAAAGCATTAGTAATGTGATGCATTTCATAACAAAGCATGTTCTGAATAAATTTGTTAAAAACTCAGTTTTGCCAGAATAAAGATTAAATGCATATTATTTTCTCCTCAATTACTTTTTATGCTGAATAACGTCTGTTTGCAGTCCTAAGAAAGCCTTTTTTTCCTCTGCATAATCTTTATTTAGTGTTTCTAACATTTTTACCAAAGAATTTCTATTATTTTTCTAGATATTTCCAATCCTCCGTGACCAAGAGATAATATTTTTAAACACAACAGCTGATTTTATCAACATAACTACAACAATATAAATTAAAACATTTCCAATTTTTAAAAAAAGATTTATTACATTTCTTAAATGTATCCAGGCCTGAAAAATGTTATACTAATCAGCTCTATATAATTTAACCTCAACTAAAGCATTAAACATCTCTTTAACTTCAAATTTTTTAATTGCTCTTGTTGTTCCAATCCCAAGAGCTTTGTTTATCTTTAGAACACAAATTAAGATATTTAAAAAGAGCTCTCTGATCCTCCTTATACAACAACGGTCCTGAGATGTCTGCAGAAGTCCAGAAAAGGAAACAAAAACATTGTCAAAACAGTCCACGTGACATTACTGGTTCTGCTATAATCATGTAAATCAACATGAACACTTTTGTGCACAAAAAATCTATTGTACTCATATGATTACAGCTGAAAAACTGAAGTCACATGGAATTTTTTGACAAATACTTGCTTCCTTTTCTCAACTTTGAACATCTATGGAGGATGCGAGAGAGCTCCAGGATATCATCTAAAATATCTTAATTCAGGTTTCAAAGATGAACGTAAGTCTAAGGGGACTGGAACAACTCTAGAATGAGTAATTAATAACAGAATCTTCCATTTTGGTTAGACTAACCCACAATTTCTACCTTCAAAACATTTGATTAACAGCTAATCATGGGTTTCATTTGAATAATCTTTAGATGAACTAACCCTGAGGTAAACAACGCATAATATGACCAGCAACTGACACTAACCCAGCAATCATGTCAGTCAGATTTCATATCAACTCTTAACATCCACACATCTTATTTCCTATGTCAGCTTACCCGTGCTCTCTTCTCGGCCTCCAGTCTCTGCATGATGAGCGTGGTGTCCACGTCTTCATCGTCTTCCTCCTCCTCGTCCTCCTCGTTCTGCTTGGACTCCTGCAGTCTCTTCTGGAACTGCCACTCCAGCATGAGTTTGCGCAGGCGGTCGTTGTCCTCGGCCGTGCGCTCGGGTTTAGCCTGCAGCTCCTGGATCTCCTTGTCCAGCAGGTCAACGATGTGAAGCTGCTGCTGCTTCTCCAGTTTTTCCCGGGCGTCCCTCTTCCAGGGGTCGGGTGACAGGCTGTCGCTGGCCGATAACTCCTCCTTGCTGATGGTGATGTACTGCAGGTCGCGTCTCTCGATGGTGCGCGGCTGCTGCTGCGGCAGGAGGTCCCGGATTACGGTGTCTTGCGGAGGCTGGCGAGGAAGACTGGAGAGTTTATCGGGTCGAGCCGGTTGTGGTGGCGGAGGTTGTTGGACTGGAGGAAGGTATGATTGGGGAAGTGTCATGGGAGGCATTTGTGGAGATGGTGGCACCGGGCCATGCTGGTTATTGTGCATAACTGGACCAGAAACCGAAGGGTTTCGGATTTGCACCAATTTCCTTTCCTGATCTCGTCTCTTCCTCTCTCGCTCCTCTTCAAGACGAGCTTTTTCCTTCTCATACCAGCGCTGTTGGTCTTCACGTTTCTTGCGGTCGGCTGCAGCCTGCTGCTGTTGTTGTGTAGCTGAAGGTGGCGGTGGAAGCGGCAGGTCGGTTTGCGGCTCAAAATCGTAGTGTGCTGGTGGAGGAGGTGGAGGTGGAGGAAGGTCTGAACGGGAGGGTTGGGAGACAGGGCCGGAATGAGGTGCAAGTGGGGTCTTCCAGCGGCCTGGGCCACTCTTGTGGTTGCCCTGGGTCCTGGAGCCAGAGGATGAGGAGAAGTTGAGGTGCTCTTGGCTGGAGGTGCTGGACTCCACTGAGGAAGACACCTGGTGGTTCCAGTGTTCTCCAACACCTCGCTGGTACTCAGCTTCACGCTGCTGCTGCTGCTGCTGGAGGAGCATTAGGTCCTCCTGGCGCAGACGTTCACCTGGGTACCCGCCCGGCATGTCACACAGCTCCTCCTGAGATCGCGCCACCCGCTAACAGAGAACAATCACACAGACAGAAGGGAGTTAATGATCATATTTGTGCAAAAATATAATATATGCTGCTTAAAATGTTTAAAAGGATTATATGAGAGCCTTAATATCTGCTTTGTGGAAAAATATAGGAGGTCAAATATTGACAAGGCACATTGACACAGAAGTTAATTATTTCACACATTTGCGAAAAAAAAATTATATATGCTGCTCAAAATGTGAAAAGCATAACATAAAAGGCTTGTTTTGTGGAAAAATTAATTCATAAAATTTAATGTTGACTATATAGGAATTACTTTGCAAGCTAAAGTAGCAACATTTAAAATAAACACATTAAACAAATAATGCCGAGTTCAGACTGCATGATTTTCAAAGTAGTCGTGTCACAGGTGTTTTCACACTGCATGACTATCTGGGTTTAAAGGGAATTAGCCATTTCTCCTTAACGTTGATAATAAACTAATTTCTTTCTGTATTAAACGTCAAACAGACAAATTGCTCCTGAGTCCTGTCAAACCTCCACTAGTTTTTCCTCCATTTCGTGGGTCCAAATAAACTGAAAAAAATCGCTTTTAACTTCTCCCCCAGCCTCCCGCTGGCCTGCAGCAGGTATACACACACACACGCACAAGTGAATGCTGCTCTCTCATTGGCTGTAGGCGATCGCTGATGTTATTTTCAGTCAAAACTCAATTCACACGGCATGATTTGAATCGCAGACAGCTCCAGATATTTAGCATGCCAAATATCTCACAGGCATCGGCGACTCATCTGCGATTCTCTCAGATTGCGTCTTTGATCGTTCATACTGTGTGATTGTCAATCACGTGCACGAGCAGCGATTTGCCTGTGATTTCAGGCATTTGTCGGCGATTTCTCAAAACCTGTCGGCGAGCCAAAATCAGGGCTAAAATCACGCAGTCTGAACTAGGCATAACGCATTTTGCCTAGCATGTCACCCAGCTCCTCTTGAGAGCACGCCACCGACTAACATGGCACGATGACACAGACAGAAGGAAGTTATTTCTCATATTTGTGTAAAAATATAATACATGCTGCTCAAAATGGTAAAAAGCATAATATATCAGACTTAAAATTTCAATAAGTTCATAAGATCAAATATTGACTACATAGGATTTTTTTTGCAACATTTAAAATAAACACATTTAATAAACAATGAATTTTGGAAAAACTTTTAAAAACCCTTTAACATTTTTTTCCTCTAAAAACTGACCAGATATTGCAGTGTTTATTTTTATTTTTTTAAATATGATTATTAAAACTTAAATTAAATCAAATGAAAATAAATCAAATAACTGAAACTTGTAAATAGCTTTTTTTTTTTTAGGTTTGGGGTCACTATACTTTTTAATTTCATTGGGAAAAAAAAGTCACAAAGCTTTCATTCGCACTCCTTTTTTTGTCACACAATCCTTCAGAATTCATTATTATTAATAATCATGAGAATAATAAGAAATAATTATTATTAATAATGATTAACATAAGAAATAATTGCAATAGAACCTTTACGTTACATTAGAAACGTTTTTACAGACACTTTTTAGCATCTAAATAACAGTATTAATATCTTTTTTATTTTAATAAATAAATAAAACCAAAACTTTTTAACAGCAGTGTGAGTTTTAACAATGTAAGATAAAATAAATAATAAAATGAATAAATAAATAACTTTAAACCAAATAAATAAACATAAACATATTTTAAAGCTAAATTAATTAGTAACTACCATAAAGTGAAATTAACTTCACAGTACTATAGTTTGACAAAAGCTGTGTGTGTTCCACAATGACTGTCTGTGGCCCCTGGATACCATGCATTCAATTCCTAAAAAGGCTAACCTGCATAGCCATGCTGTTGTTGGAGTGGTTATCCATAGGGGGAAGAGGCTCTTGTTCGTTGTTTTGCCAGGGCTGGCCAGGGCCCATCCTGTCCTGAGATTTGGAGGCCGGGAAGGTGAAGTATTCTCTAGGGTAAGTCTGAGTGGGGATGGGATAGGCCTCTGGACGGGGTGGAGAGGGCTCCTCCTGTGGGAAAAATAGGGTATTGACAGATTAGACAGCTTCTTAAAAGCCAATATATATTCAGAAAAGAAATGAAACAGAGACAAAAGCAAATAAAAATAAAACAAATTTTATACATAGAGGCTGTCAAAATTTGAAGTGGATCAAAAAGGTTGTCCAGAGACAAGAATGGGTATACACAGGGGCCCCAGTAAAAGCTTTGAGTTCCAATTTACTTTATATGTCAGTGTATTTTATAAGATATGGTAATGCGAGTTTTTTTTCTATGCAACAACCGGATCGATGTTTGTGAAAGCAATGCAAGTTAAATCATAAACAAGCTGACTTCTGTAATTTCTGTCAAGCTGTGTTCTGTCAAAATGAATATCAATATCAATAAATCAACTTTATTTATATAGCACCTTATTAAAACCAGGGGGCTGCCCAAAGTGCTTTACAGCATTAAAACCCAATTACACATTAAAACACATAAGATAGTAAGAACACAATCTAAACAAGAGAGTCAATAAAACAATAAAAAACACTTTGCACTGATGAATATCAAAAGCAAGTCTAAGTAATAATTAATTTTTACGTTTTAAATGGCCTGCTGATCGTATGACCCTGTTAGGTTTAAGAAGCTTTAAAATCTCACATAAATATGAAGGCACAAAACTTATAACTGCACTAAAAACAAGCAATTCTGAATTTACCAGGAAGCCAGTGAAGAGAGTAAAGGACAGGTGTGACGTGCTCACATTTCCAACAATTCATCAGCATGCGAGCACTTAGAAAAACTTAGACTTAGAAAACTTTATTTATCCCGCAGGAAATTGCTTATGTAATGACTGCCATAACACACAGAACACAGAAACACAAAACCACAAGACAAAATAAATAAATTAAGTAAGTGAAATAAGTCACATAAATCCAACCAATCTATAAAAGGAAACAGCCACAATACATAAGTATACAAACTATTATATAAGATATTACACTTAAAAGAATCAGTGGTAACTAATACTAATAAGTCATATATCAAGTAATGAAAATAATATTAACCAAAACTAATATTACACATAAAACAATTACACATACAATAATTCAAGTAGTAAAGTCATTCAGCACTCATTTAAAAAACAAAGATATTGCACTAAAAATATTTAAGACCCAGTAAAAAAACGTACAAATATTGCACCTAATAGACTATTGCACATCATAGAACATAATGCACAGACTTCCACGCATTAAAACCCGTAATAATTAATTAATATATGGCACGAGCAGCAAGATATTGCATAAATTACTGTGAGGGTAAGTGACTGAGGGAGACGTTATGAAGTCTGATAGCAGTGGGAAGGAAGGATTTTCTGTGGCGTTCAGTGGAACACTTTAAGCTGGTAAGTCTGTGACTAAAGGTACTTCTCAGCTCGTCAACCACATTATAAAGAGGATGATCTACATTGTGCATAATTGACCGAAGTCTGCACAATGTTCTCTTTTCGGCCACAGTCTCCATATTGTCCAATTCCTCACCCACCACAGCGCCAGCTTTCCTAATCAATTTGTTAAATCTCTTCATATCTGCCACTTTTACACTACCACCCCAGCACACCACAGCATAGAAAATGGCACTGGCCACTACAGACTCATAGAACATACGCAACATGGTGTTGCAGACTCTAAAAGATCGGAGTTTACGTAGGAAATACAGCCTACTTTGACCCTTCTTATATGTGACCAGCAGTATTTTGCACCAGTTGTAACTGATGAAGTAAGGTTTGGTAAATTTCAACATAAGATGCATTGCAATAGTCCTGATGAGAGCTGATAAGGGCATGAATGGCTTTCTCTAGGTCAAGCTGGCTCAAAAAATGGCTCGAATTTAGCAAGTCATTTTAGCAACTTACTAGGCAGGTTTGAATTGCCAAACAATACACTCCATTTTGTCTTCATTCAGAGAAAGAAAGTTCTGTGACAGCCTAAATTTGATATCAACTAAACATCTGTGTAGAGATTTTAGTGTACCTGAAGAGTCTGAAGCGATAGGGAGATAAATCTGAACATCATCAGCATACAGATGAAAGAAGATATTATGATTTCCCATGATATGCAAAAGAGATCTTCAAATATCTTGGCATATCACACCAGTTGGACCTTTACATTTGTTCCCAGTTAGATTTAGGATTGATTTCTATTATTTATTCAGAAAAATAACTATAATAATAATAATAATCCTAATATTTTACAAAAAAAAAAAAAATATTTTACTAAAATTATTTAGTATATCTATTTCCATTAATTGAATGGGGAAATCTATGCCCCAGTGTCTAGCAACACCACTGACTATACATTTAGGTTTTAGGACAACTTTAATAGTGTTTTGACCCACTTCAAATGTTGAATAGTGTAGATATTTTAACTAACTTCATACACAAGTTGCACTTCTGACCATTTTATTTATGTAAATATTTGTTATTTTGCTATTTGTCTTGTTTTGGGAATCAGAATAGTTTGCGTTTCTTTAGCATTATTAGTTTAGGTCAATTGTTTTAAACGTAAGACTTCGAGTTCATTAATTTTCCTTCGGCTTAGTCCCTTATTTATCAGGGGTTGCCACAGCGGAATGAACCGCCAACTTATCCAGTATATGTTTAACAAAGCGGATGCCCTTCAAGATGCAACCCACTACTGGGAAACACCCAATACACTTGCATTTGCACACACACACACACACACACACACACACACACACACACACACACACACACACACACACACACACACACACACACACACACACACACACACACACACACACACACACACACTGGCCAGTTTAGTTTATCCAATTCACTTACACCACATGTCTTTGGACTGTGGGGGAAACAGAACTCCACACAAAAATGCCAAATGCCCCAGCCAAGACTCAAACTAGCTACCTCCTTGCTGTGAGGCGACAGTGCTAACCACTGAGCCACCATGCCACCCTGATTTTGATTTATATTTGTCATTAGTTTAGAGGTTAGCTTTAAGGATTGTTCATTTCTTTGGTTTGTCTAGCGTTTTATTTTCGCTAGTTCAGTATAATCTTTTCTTATTATTGATCATTCGCATTTCTTTCTCCGTTTGATTAAAGACTTCACAAACTTAACACTGTATTGTTTCATTATTGATATGTCTCACGCAGTATTCATTCACAAATGTTATATCATCCCTTTCAAGCATCAAACACATGCAGTATCAGTTATTATTTCCAATGCAATACAGTTGAGCAATTTTTGACCCAATGATCC